TTTAATAACACTATTTTAGTTTCTTATTTCATAATTATTTTTGTTTTAAACTGGAATGTAGCAGTAAATGCCCTGCATTTCAGCAACAGATATACTCGTGAGTGAAACGGTTGTACTTAGGTATAATCCGAGGCAAACAAGAAGCCTTGTTACGTAGTTTCGGGTGATTTCTTCTGCCGTCTCCATACTTTGATGCCAACGGTGGTCGGGATGGCGTTGGGTCTGTCAGTAGATCGCCAGGTTATTATTGCCTACAGCGTTTGGGCCAATATTCGGCGCTGGCCGCAGATATTTTTTTTATACTAAAGGGTGACAAACGTGGAGCACACAGTCCACATGGTAAGTGGATTCTATGGCCTATAAACATATAAATTTAACCTCGATTCAGAATCAAATGCAGATGGGTTTTCACCCATGAAGCCTAAGATGGAATGCCTCATTTCCAGTTAAAAGGGTCTCCGGTTGTCTACGCTCAACATACGAAGCACAGCAGCATTAAGCTGCTATTTCACGCTGGTACTCTATGAGAGCGTGATCCTTCCCCGGTCGAGCCGATCCATTTTAGCTTTGCTCTACTACGAAAAAAAAGATTATTAACATCATTGCAAAAGTCAAACCTTTTTAGTTGCGCCCAGTAGTTAGATATTTGCTTCTTACTTCTTCTTTATCGATCCGTATAAGTATACCACTGAACTGATTGTCTACTGGACATGGGCCTCTCTCGTTGTAACCCGTCACAGCATCAGACGCCCCGTTTCGATGTCTTAAAGGCAAGAGTTTTAAAAGATGTTTGTTACACTAATGGCCAAATAATCAAACGTTACTCAATTTTAAGATGTCGTTAAGTCTCGTGATGTCACACTCACTTTGACTTAAAATGATAGAGATAGCACGAGATTTAATGGCATCTTAAAATTGAGCAGCATTTGAGTATTTCGGCATTAAACAATGCCCTTTAAACATCTTGGGCTACATCACCACTTACTATCACACGGATAGTAGTCAAGCATTGACTTGAAAATTTTACAAACAGCCTGACATAGGTTAAAATTTACATTATATGAAAGTTAACATAAACAATCCTGTATGTGTGTATTGTATATAATCTGTTTAGGTAGAGTAGAAGTCAATAATTTAATTGTTTTTCTTTTTAATTTGTTTTATTGTCCTTATTTCCGAAAAAACTACCCACATCTTTATTTATTCCATCTTTATTAGAGTTGACTGGTAGGGAATGCCACTGGGCCACATATTGAGTCCGCCCTTTGTAACCCCAAATTGAAGGTGTGTTGCAATAAAGGATAAATAAATGAATAAATAAAAGATCAAAGAAAGATTCTGCAAATCACGTTTTTCCACATTTAACACAACTAGATATAATACAAAATCAGTGTATGCGGATAATTGGTGGGTTTGTCAAGAGTACCCCTATCCATGTAATGGAATCGGAACTGCTTTTACAGCCATTGTCTATTCGAAGAAGATATTTAGCAGGTAAATTTTGGTTAAAGTGTAAGTCTATTGATGAAAATATTGTTACAAATTTATTATGTACGAGTATCCTAGACTAGATGAACGTAAAGAAAGCTTCTATTGGCGACGTAGGAAAACCCCACTGCTAGTTACAACCCATAGATTATTTAAAGAAACTCGTATATTTTCAAGTCCTTACTTAGAAATGTTTTCACACAGTTCGTTGATTAGCAAGTTGGATTTATCTGATTCTACAATCTCTCAAACAGAATTTGTTAACGCACATAAACATAAGTACAATCCCCTTTACTTACAAACTTTTTGTCGAAAATATTTAACTGATAACTTTACAAATTCCTATCTATAAAATATATACCGATGGCTCTAAAGATAAAGAAGGAACGGGTGCTGCATTTTTAGACATTCAAACCAAAGAACACATTAAGCTCTGCTTAGGTAAGGAAATTTCAGTTATGCATGCGAAACTCATTGCAATTGCGGAAGCCTTATCTTATGTCAAGTCACTTAATTATGATAAATTGTTGATATTAACTGATTCTCACAGTGCCCTTCAACATTTAAAAAGATGTACTTTACTGTCTCGCGGTTTTCCATTGGCTTACAACATATTAAGTAATATTTTAACATTAAAATCGAGCCATAAAAGGATAGTCTTACAATGGGTGCCTTCCCAAATTGGTTTAGAGAGAAATGAGGCGGTAGACGTTCTTGCTAAAGAGGCGTCACGTATCGATGGGGATAATTTCGATTGTGTTCCTTATTTCTCCGAACTCTTATCTAAAGTCCGAGAAAACTGTACAGAAAAGTGGACCGAATACTTTGATGAAAGGTCACTATCAAAAGGTATTTGGTACAAGACGATACAACCGCATCCTTCCCGCTTCCTTTGGTTTGAAGGATGCAATATGAGAAGGCAAGAAATTATTACAGCAATGAGACTTCGTTCTGGACATATTCCATTAAACAAATTTGCGTTTATGATGAGAAATGTGAATTCATCAAATTGTGTCAAATGTGAAGTTCTGGAAGATACTATTCATATTATGATGGAATGTGAACGGAACGAAGCATATAGAAAACTATTAGGTTTTGACAAAAATAGTGTTGGATTGTATAATAGTATTTTAGCTTTTCCATTGTCGAATAAGGCTAGAAAACTTTATAAACTAGTATTGTTAGGTATTAAGAACAAATATATTTTTTTTTTATTATTGTTTATACGTGAATTTATCATTGTCTGATTATATGTATTTGATTGTGTACCTATGAGGGTAACATGATCTAATGGATCAAACCCTCTATAATGAATAGATTTAAAAAAAATCACGTTTTTCACTATGTGAAAGAAAATTTTTAGGTGGTAGAGCCTTGTTGCAGCTATATATAGTTATAGTTCGGATCGATCAGAGTAGGACCACGCTCTCACAGAATACCAACGTGAAGCAGCAGAATAACGCTGCTGTTTTTCGTATGGCAGGTGTGAAGAACCGGAGTTCTTTTGTATTAGTAATCATTGCCTTTTCCCATCTATCCATCCAACTTTGTATCTCCATTGTTGGAGCCAATCTACACAGTGGAGTAATGGCTCCAAGAAATTATTACCTGTTATATTTGCTGCAATTATTAGATTTATAATGTGTGACCGCAGAATTGCGCGTAAAATATTAAAAAAAAAACATTGTAAAGACATAGTCCTCCTGCATGGCAGAAGTCTCTCAACTTCTCATTCGTAAGCAGGTAATATAGAAAAATAAATAGAGTGCTGTGCAGCAGCACACTATTTATTTAGCAGCATTGTGGAAATGCCACTTCAACGCGAGTCAGTGTTTTCTTTACAAATGTTTTAACTGGGGTGAAAACATCCACCCCCATTAAAAGATTTATAAAATATTAGGTGGTAGACCCTTCCGAAAGTAGGTATATAAAGCCTGCACATACCTCGCACGAAGTAAATATCGCTAAGTAAATTCAAATGCGAAATTTTCAGTAAAATAAATATAAATAATATGATTATTATTTAGTTAATCATAACAATAACCCATTTTTGTGTTTTTTATTTTTAAACAGTTGTTTTTGTTGCAGTAACATTACTTAACGTTAATCTCGCACATCTTTTATCTCTTTCTATCTCTATGTTTTCCCCGCCCATGTGGGTGACAAAGTATTGATTGTCGATTCTATTCCATCCTCTAAGCATTCGATCGATTTCGTTTTTTGTAGTGATGACAAAAGGCACTTGATAAGTAGGGCAACAGCTGCCCTAGACTTAAAGCACAAAATCAAACGAATTAATAAGTACAAGTACATACTAACCTTCTATTTTAGTAATTTAAATTATTTGGCGTTATCACTTATCACATTCAGTAATATCTAAAATTAGATTTTAATAATATATGTGTGAATACTACAAAAAATGTAATTAAATTATTTTAAAACTTGTTTTGAGTTGTTTTTTTTGGTTATATTTTAGTATTAGTAAAATATTTAAAACCGATATAGGTACCTAAAAATGTAAAATTGACTCGACGCTGAATTATGGGAAAAGGATAGTTGGATTGCAAGACGGAGGAAAAAAACAATTCTAATTATTCTTTATTTAGTTCAATGTAAACAAGTATTTAAATAATTATACTGCGTTACAGTTGACTTAATAACAGGTAATGCGGTTAAGTTCATTATAAAGGAACAAAAATTACTTATTTTAATTAATAAGCTACTACTGCAACTTACTAAGGAATTTTAATTAAATTTCAAGGAAATGCCCAAAAACTAATGTACCTACTAAAAAGCTAATTACTCTATCCCTGAAGTAATTCCTGGAATAATATATTAATTATACAAATAATAAAAACCACAATTATTAAAGTCTAAATAAACTGTCACAGTTTAAGGCAAATAAAACAAGTAGAAACGCTACAAATACAAAAGAAATAACCTCGGCGATAACACGACTCGACTCGTGATAAGGCTGAGCAAGTAACTTGAAGTAATAATATACAATGCCAACTCAACGGTGGACCTACCTATAAGTATCGCTTTTACACACTGTTTTAACGTCTTGCGTCTTCTTCTGCTTACGATGACCTCGTCACACACCCATGAAATGTTGCTATAATTCTAATAAATAACAAATTAAAATCTTACAAATTTTTACTAAAAATGTAACAAATTAATAAAAAAAATTTAGTTTGTCATTATAGAGCTAAAAATGAGAGCAAACATCACCATATTTATGATTTTGAAAATTTTATTATATACCTACCAATTAAAATGTCAATGACAGACACCAAAAGCAGAGCTGACATTTTTGGGTCTATTAAAAAGAAATGCATCTAATGTCAAAGGAGTATGGTTGAAAATTAATTCATAATCTGTTGGAAATTTAAGCCAATTTGGTATCGCTATCTAAAGACCGACAAATATATAAAATGGTCGGATAATTAACTGTGTTGCAATAATAAAAATATTTTCGTCTTTTTCACTCATTTCGTAGGCAGTAGCATCACCTTCTTGCTGTAGAAATGGACGTTGAGATAGTTTTAGGCTTCGCGATTTTTGTTTATATCTTCGTTAATCGTCGTTGCAAACTTTTGTAATTAGTTTTAAAAGCCATCCCGTTGCACAATAATGTAGTGCGTGTATTTAATATTTAGAAAAATCGTGTGTTTTATGAATTTTCCTTTGCCTTAACATAGCACCATTCGGTAGTGCTGCAATTGATTTATGTCTTGAATCGCTATTATTTTAAAAATCGTTTATTGTTTACAAATCACCTTCTTGTTGTTATATTTAAGTTTAAATGAACTTATATATGTAGCCTAATCTGTTTTCGTGTAAGTTTTACGTTGTTGCAAAGTGTATAATAGATTTTATTTCCTGTGGAGTAATATAAAATGGTTTCCAGTTACTGGTGAGTACTCACGGACATTTTTACTACTTTCGAGTTCTTGATAACATTTTGTAATTACAAAACAATTATACGGATGGCGTGTCTACGTATTTTTTCAAATAATACGAAGCATTCTAAAAATGAAACAATGTTGTTCATTGTTTGTTTAGCAAAAAATAGGTCCTAATGTATACAAATGAAACTTTTAAGACAAATAACTATTTCAGGTTATTTGCTTAGTAAGTAGCTCACAAATTACGATATAAATGTGCTACGCCTTTCAAAATTGATATTAAAACTTTATCTGAGTAAATAAACAGTTTATATGACAATTCTGAGGTCAATAGCCTAAGGGTTAATCCATGCTTCAAAAGGTCTATAAATTGTAATTGATTGCAATTGAAAATTAAATATTTGTTTGTTTATCTAATTATAATGTGTTCTTACTACATTAAATAAATACTCATCAATTTAAAATTTTAATAAAAATAGAAATAAATGATGAAGAATTAAAAAGTGCAAACATACCTATTCAATATTTTAGATAGTAGGATTCCGGTCTGTCTAGGTGTCGTTCTGGGTAGGTACCACCCACTTACCTATTTCTGCTGCAGAACAGCAGTGCTGTTCGGTCTGAAGGTCATTGAGCCATTATAATCACTGACTGTGAGACGTTCCATCTTAGTTTTCAGAGGTGACAATGCTCTAGCCTTCTTTGTTAGAAGTTGGTGGCTGATTTTCATGAGCTGCAGTAACCACTTACCATGAGATTGACTATGTTTGTTTGTCACTTCAATTTATAAAAAAAAAAGAATACCTACTTAATTTTATAATGTAAGTGGTGTTTGTGCAACCTGTTGCTGAACAGATGTATTTAAATATATATATATTTATTGTAATGCAAATTATAATTACTTATTTTTTTTAAATATCTTTGTGTAAGTGACAAGTAAGTTCATCTATACATCTATACAAATAAATAAAATTGAAGTGTCTGTTTGTAATGTCAAAATTACAGTTTTTTACTGAATGCACCGACAACCGATGGGGAAGAAAGGTTCTCGAGTGGCAGCCTCGTACCGGTAGGCGAAGTGTAGGGCGTCCCCCCACGAGATGGAGTGACGACCTGGTAAGACATGGAGGAAGTCGATGGATGCAGGTGGCTCAGGACCGTGCTTTGTGGCATTCTTTGGGGGAGGCCTATGTTCAGCAGTGGACTTGTGAAGGGCTGTAATGATGATGATGATGACTGAATGCATATGAAAGTAAATATGGTACTTATAACTAAAATACAATTTTTTAAATTTTTGTCTGTCTGTCCGTCTGTCTGTCTGTTTGTTCTGGGTAATCTCCGAAACGGCTGGACCGATTTTGACGGGACTTTCACTGGCAGATAGCTGATTTCATAAGGAGTAACTTAGGCTAATTTTATTTTAGAAAAAGAATTAGGGTTGTGCGCAAAAACATAAAAACTCTAACACGCGGAAGAAGTCGCGAGGAACAGCTACTAGTAAATAACAATATGCATACACCCTCCTTTTGTACAAACTTTATTAGACTTCATACCATTAATAATATTAAACTATAGTACTTTTGCCACTTACCTATTTCCATTTTATTATATTAGCAATAATTTTGTAAAACTATTATATATTAATTCATTCGAAAATAACTACATAAGTAACTTTGTAACATAAAGCCAAGTAAGCATATCTATTATGAAGGAAATGGAAACTAGTAGAATACTCTGTGTGACTTTCATGAAATACTCGATGCTGGCAGAATCCATTGGAAGTTGCCAAACTAGGAAAAAAATAAAATAAGTTCTGCAACATATGCTGAAAAAAATATAAAAAAATCTCACTCAATCGTTATACATGGTAAAGCCACACGGCAGCTATATTAGTTGTAGCATGAATGGGTCAGCTCAACCAGGGTAGGACCAGCTCTCACAGAATACCAGCGTAAAATAGCAGTTTAAGGCTGCTGTGTTTTGTATGGTGAGTGTAGAGAACTGGAGACCCATTTTACTGGAAATGAGACATTCCATCTTAGTCCTCAGGGGTGACATCAAATCTACTTAGCATATTAGCATTTTGATTCTAAATTGAGCATAAATGTAGATGTCTATGGTGCACAACATCCACTTACCATCAGGTGGACTGTGTGCACGTTTGTCACCCTTATTCTATAAAAAAAGCAGTTTTGAAACAGTGGGACTAGTTTACTTTAGCTACTTCCATAGCATAATGTATAGTATAGTATTTCGCTATGGGGAAACGAAATAATCCTGAAATTATATTTGTTTTACAGAAGAGGGCCATAAGATCTATGATTTAAAACCTCGAGTTGCTCGGCCAAAAATTAAAAAAAAATAATATATTAACTAATATGTACACAAATTAATAAGTCGTTTTAAAAAAATAAGTGATATTCTTACTGTAAATACTAGAAACAGACACAAGCTAGTAGTACCAGCTACTCGACTGTACCGAGTCACTAATTCGTTCTTAAGTTATGGGGCAGGCAATGGCTTTTAAAACAAAACCCCAGGTAATATACAAAAATTATTGTGTAGTGCAGGTGTAAGAATATCCACTGCTCCATTTCATCATGACAAAATCCCCTTCACAAAGAAATTTGTGGAGGAGTCTTAAGCTCAGTTTTTATAGAAAACATAGATTGGATTTAAAATGTTATTATAGTATTAAGGAATTTATCAATGATATTAAGCTTTTGGAATGAGGTGGTCGCTACCAAGCTATTTCTATTATGATTTGTATAGTAAATTGTCTAAAGATGATCTTTTTTTGTTGTACTTATTCAAAAAAATTCTAGCTTAGGTTTCTTTCTTCTTAGTTCTTGCCAGGATAAAGATATTTTCCAAACCATTGGTAAATTAAACATAGGAGTTACTTTCAATAAGTACATACATACTGAAGAAAAAGATATATTTCATTAAGGGTAGAATGGAATAGAATAATTTTTACTATATATAGACAGTCTAACTACTAATAACAGTCGGTCATCGAAAGTGTCTAGACGTGGTAATCGTGTGGTGCTATGTGGGGTGAGACGTAGACAGAGCTACTGTCAGCTAGGGTTGTCCTGTCATGCAAATGTTCAGTAAAAAACTGTGAGTTATGCTCATTTAAAGATAAGGAGTTAGGTTCATTAGTTTTTACACACCAATTTGTTTAAACGTGAAATAAAATACAATCAGGTTTTTTTTTACTTCCCGTTCTGACAACCCTAGAAATTTATTGTTTATATCGGCTTTTCTGACAAAATCAATCGAGATGACTGACTGTATGTTCTTCTTAGGCTGTGATATATATAACAAGAATTCTTATTGAAAGTAATTAAGTTTTTATCATTAAGAATAATCTTAGGAGGAATCAGCAAAAAAAGCAAACCGGACTTCTTGTTTAAAATAATTATAATATTATATATTGTATACTTAATTGTTTTGCAAGGCTCCATTTGGCTAATGGTTAATTTGGTTAATGGTAATTTTCAAGCCAAAACCCCACTTTAGCTTTTGAACTTTTGAGGAACCGGTAAATTTTTTTACAATAAAACCAGTTCTGCAGTTAAAGGTTTGCCATATTTGACTGGCTCCTTGTAGTGCACTTATAATATACATGGAATTAATTTCTTTTAGTAGATAATTGGGCCTAATTAGGTAATAGGTGCTCAGTGTATACAAAATAAATTATGCAATTTGGTTTTTACTGCCATTTGGCGATCACCAGAGTCTCATTTGTTTATTAGCAGGTTACACTAAATACCAGTGTGTTTGTCATTTGGAAAAGTTAATGTATTCTCCCTTATAAATGGAACCTTTCTTTTCTATTTGTTGGATTATTAACAGTTAACAGCATACAGTTTTGTACGTGGTAGAGCCATGCTGCAGTTATATTAGTAGTATAGTTGTAGCACGAATGGGTCGGCTCGACCGGGGAAGGACCACGCTCTCACAGAATACCAGCTTAAAATAGCAGCTTAATGCTGCTGTGTTTCGTATGGTAAGTATAGAGAACCGGAGACCCTTTTTACTGGAAATGAGGCAGTCCATCTTAGTCCTCACGGGTGACAACGCATATGCATTTTTAGTCTTTATTGAGGATAGATGTAGATGTCTATGGGTCACAGTAACCACTTACCATCAGGTGGACTGTGTGCTCGTTTGTCACCGTGTCCTATAAAAAAATATATAAAACTTGTGTGCAATCCTTCTCATCTCTGACTGCTGAGAATATTAATGTTTTTCAGATCGAATTTAGTTCATAGCAACCAGTCTTAACGGAGACAATTGATAACTGAATATAATTAATTCTATCAAGAAATTAACTGAGGATAGTTTAGCACAGAAAGTCTCCTATACTGCTACAATGCATGTTGGTAGATTACACATTGACATTTCTTAAAATATTTTTCCTCCTATGTACTTCTTCAACACATTAAAATACAGGTTACACTTTTATTGACTCTGAATTGAATTTGGGTGATTGTATACTATAAAATTTAAGTGCTTAGCAGTTTTAATATCTTTCTGATTGTGTGCTGGAATTGTATTGCTTAATCCCTCCCCCTCTCTTCCATTAATGTGTCCAGTAGACATTAGTAGTTGTTCGGTTAGTCTCAACAATCTGAACCAAATTATTTACTTTGTCATAATATGCACAGCAACGGTGTGGGATAATTCACCAGTATCTGTCTATCTATTCAATTTCAATGTGGGTGTCTTAAGCTGAGATCTATAGGTCGTACTTTGACTTCGGTTACGAAAAATTAAGCTGAGTATATGCTTAGCATAATCTTTGATTCTGAATTTATAGTTGTATCGAGCTAAGATTAAGTTAAGCTTATGCTAAAGCACAGACAATCCAAATATTAATGAATGCTTCATTCTACGCATTATGTTATTGACTTTACTGTATGAAATTAAAAAATATATAATATATTTAAAATCGAAAAGAAGTGTTGGAGAATGGAAACGGATGAGATGAGTGCAAAGTCAGAAAAAAAGTAAAAAATAAGATTTTAAGAAATTCGAAATAAGATTGAAATTACGTAAATAGAAAATGGATTAATGCTGTTTAAAACTAGAAGACGGCCTAAAACTACCTATTTATTATTATAATTAATTAGAGTAACATAAAAACAACAATTTAAAATGAATATTGTGGTTTTAAATAATATCCTGAGTTTTATGTAAGTCGTCGACATCATTGACTTAGGCTTTGCTAAGCGTGCACTCACCATGACTTCGAAGTTAGCTCTATAAATACCGACATTGTCTTAGCTCAAAAGTAAAGTCTGAGCAAAGTCAAAGTACGGTCTATAGATCTCAGCCTTAAAGGCAGAAGAAGAAGTGAATAGGCTTTTGTTAACCATCGATTACTTTTGTGTGTGTCGTATGACACGCGAGTCGTGTCTTTTTAAAAATTGTTATAACTCGCCCAAATTGCTTTTTTGGAAAATTTATTCACAACAAAATATTCATTATTTTGCGAGTAGTTCATGCATGCAGCTTCGTTTCTGGATATTTTGAAAATTTGAAATTTTTAGGGGTTGACAACCTTTTTTTAACGTGTACATGGTACTATTTTTACTTTGTGGGTTTTAAATCATGTTATAAATAAAAAATAAAAATTGTCTAATAAGTAACAAATAATAGCACTCATTGCGATCGCTCACAAACTCTAGTTGTAAATAAATTTCTGGAAAACAAGTCTCCTGTTAAAAAAAACAATGCGTTTGTCTTATTGTTTAATTTTGCTTAAAATGGTTGAACTGCCGTCTTATTACTATCATATGGCCGAATAGACCTACGAAGTACCATGTGCTCTTGTGATATGGTATAAACCGTTCATGCATAAAAAAAGTTCGCTAATAAATAGTCTTTTGTCAATCCGCCGCCGTATAGCGCCGGCGTCTTTTTCCTTTTGAAAACACTTGTTTTGCTATTCTTACTAATTAGACGTTTTCAGATTGACTTTACTTTTACATTTGTATAACATTAAATAATATTTAACATTTGTAAATATCAATGAATGATATACCTTTTTTTTTTCAAATTAAGGTTCTTCATTGTTTGATATTTACAAATGTTATAATTAGGTGAAAATTTAATTTAATAAAAACCAAGGTTTTCAGGGTGATTTAGCTGTACCTACTTATATAAATGATTTTTTATAACAACAAAAAGTAGTACAAAAGGTTTGTAATCTCTTCATAAAAAAAGTACTTTCACTCAATTTCAAAGAAAACGCGTAAAAAACACGTAGCTATCCACTAAAAACAAGTATCCTTCCATTTGTAACTTATGTTTGATGTCAAATAAACTTAATTGGGTCTAAACAAGTAAAAAAAGCATATAGAACATTACTTTTACACATGGCGGATGGCACAATAGGCGTGTCTGTGGCGCTTGACACGCCCGGCGTGTCATGAAATATTTGTTAAAGTGGCAGCTAAAAGTTGTCGAAAATTGGTGCCGCAACGAATCTGTTAAACTAAGTCAGTGTGAATTATGGTGGTTATCTTTGGTGGCAACATAACAACTTACTGGGATAGTAATAAAGCATTGGCTTCTTTTGCATTCATAAATCTACGTATACGTGCCTGTCGGTTAAAGACACCCTTCATTATTTATTACAGCCTGCCTAAAATCCACTGCTGAACGTAGGCTTCCCCCATATCTTGCCACTTAGAGCCATATTTGCCGTGCTTGGTAGGCAGATCAGCAGTTTTTTTTTGATAAATTTGTGTTATTACCAGGAAGATTCTGCTGCCCATCCCCCGTTTCATTTCCCTCTATTACCTCTCACAATACCTGTGGGATAACATGAGATAGTGAATTCTTTTACACCACTATGGTGGGGGTACTCTTATTTTGATCTATCTATACAAATAAATAAAATTAAAGTGTCTGTTTGTAATGTCAAAATAACAGCTTTTTACTAAATGCATATGAAAGTATATACGGTACTTATAACAAAACGTCTGTTTGTTCCGGCTTATCTCTGAAACGGCTGGACCGATCTTGACGGGATTTTCACTGGCAGATAGCTAATGTTGTAAGGAGTAACTTAGGCTACTTTTATTTTAGAAAAGGGATTGTGGTTTCGCGCAAAAAAATTAAAACCCATAAAATCCAATCGTAATAAATTCCACGCGGGCGAAGTTGCGAGGAACAGTTAGTCTTAAATAGATCACCAATTTAGTTGATAAACTTCCGTCTGAAGGGTTCCTTGCAGACTCTATTAGTAACTTCTGCAACATAAATTTACTTTGTCACTTACGTCATTATCAAATAACTAAGTTTTTAAATTACAATAGTAACCTTTTAATCCCACTAATAATATTTCTTAATGGGAGTACCGTACTTTTTACTTTTTCTTGGTTGCCACCGTCTCTTTCCTTAGTTAACTGGGTTTGCGGCATTCAGGTGAGGCTGGTATTTGGACAAAAAATTAATACAGCTTAAAAGGTAAAAGAAAATTATATCAACATACATTCATATTTTACCATAGTATAATGTAGTGGTGGTGTAAGAAAATCCACTATACAATATCGACCCATGGGTGTCATTATAATAACTACTAAAAAATAAAAAAAACTGCAGTTGCCAACCTGCCTGCCAAGCGTGGCAATTATGGCAAAATCCTTCTCTATGAGTCAATCTATATATATATATATATATATATATATATATAATCTTAATATATAAAAATTACGTGTCACGTTGTTTGTCTATGATGAACTCCTAAACTACTGAACTGATTTCAATGAAGGAGCAATGGCAGAAAAATAGTTGACAAAAATTATAGCGTCTAGAAATAAGTTATATATAAAATGAGTTTTATTATTTTTCGATGATTATTCAAATAAAAATGTATTTTAATTAAAGCCACAGAAAAAAACAAACATTTTTGGGAATATCAAATGACTTATATCATTTTACTCTATTCAAATGTTGCCATTTAGTATATTCATACTATTTTCGTAAACACTTTGTAACACTACCAACACAACACACAAAATATTTTATATTAAGTTATTATTAGTAATAACTGTACTATCAGTAATAAAAAAAATATAAGTGACATGGCTGAGAATAAGTCTCTTACAAAGAATTTCCTACAATAATATATTATCTCAATCATAGTACTATGTAAAAATTCCATTTAATGTTATGCCAACACTAGCTAAAATAAAATGTCACTGTTCTTTTTACTGGCTTTACGGCTCTGGGTTCTAGCCCTTCTGAGAATGTCACTATGGTACATAAGCCCTGGAGCCATGCCAGAAATATACATTTATAGTATGCAAATATATAATAGAGATACAATAATCTAAAAACTCTCAATTATGTATTATTTACTAAGCTAACATCAAACAACCACAGGAAGCATGACTTTTTCCAAGTGCCATAGGACATAACCTAAAAAGGTTCAAACGTAAATATCTTTTTTTGACGCCTTCTCAGTACAAAATTCTTTGACACAGTTATTAAGGGACTGACGCTTAACATTTTAAGATATTTTTGATATATAGACGCTACCATTTCTTCTCAACTAATTTTATGTATGAAAGTATGCCATTGCTCTTTGCACACTCTGTGCGGTTTGGTTCAACTTGAGAGATAGGATAGTTTTTATCCTCATAAGTGACTCTCAATATTTTTTATTACGAATTTAAGGATTTTTTATATGAAGGGTCGTCGAAAAAGGCAGAACAACGTCTGCCTGGTCAGCTAGTAGTATATAAAACAAAAAAAATCCTTTTGAATTTTAGCTAAATTGTATTACGTATTATGATTATAAATGTAGTTAGTTTGTTATTATCTGTTTTCAGAACTTAAAAAGTTCACTGCTGGACGTGGAGCTCTGCCAAATTGGGGGATTTGGCGTCACCTCCTGACAGGCACATTGGCAACTGCTGCAAAGATAATCGCACTGCTGAAGCTGCCCACTGTTTTTGGTCTGTTATTTTACTTTAGGCATTTTTGAGATGGTTATTCCACCATCTGCCAGGTGAAACCAGATTTTTCTGACGTTCAATTGACTCATATAATGCGATGTTGAATTAAATTAACCAAATTCACTAAATATATCAATGCCTAGGTGTTGATGTAAAATGTTAAGTTGACTGTTTTCTGCTCTTAAGGTAGCCAGGTGTACGGCTGTAGCCAGACTTGTTTGACTTTTTATGGTCATGGCTGGCTTTCTGGCTGTTAGGCTCATTATTAATAAAATACGGGAACCTAGTAGCTCATGTAACAGAAACAGAAACTTTTTTATTCAATATAGATTATAAATAATACTTATTGAAAGTCACTATTTTGTATAATTACCACTGGTTTGAAAAAAAAACCTCTGTCCTGGGAAGAACCAAGAAGAAACCCAGCGGGACTTTTTTTTTTTAAATAACAGCTTACAATCATGTATATTACACATAATATTAACAACACAACAAATTAGAAATAGCTTGGTAGCGATCACCTCATTTCCAGGGGTTATTATCATCCATAAATTCTTTATGTTGCCTTTTAAACGTCATTTTAGGCAGATTTTTAAGGTTTTCTTTATGTATATATTATTTATGTATATAATTTTAATGCCCATACAATAGGGACTATGCTTAAATGGTTTGTTTTATATTGGCCAACAAGATTCTACCTTGATTCTTCTAGAGGTTAGCTTTTGTCATACAATGTTATGTTTATATAGTTTTTATAATATGATACATTGGCATTTTCCAGTTAACAATAAGAAGATGGCCTTATGTGAGAGTCAATTGGATTCGGCGTTGCCACAGTTGAAGAGAGAGGAGTCCTCGCCGAGCAGCGAGGGTCAGGAGTCCCCTGAAAAGAAACCAAAGCTGGAGCCCAATGGAGATATATACGGGCTTAACAAAGGTACAATGTGTCTCTAAGTAAAGTAGGGTTACACTCTATATAAGTCCCACTGCTGGGTACAGGCCTCCTCTCATTACTGAGAGGGTTTTAGGGTAAAGAAATGTCCGCTGCGCTGCCCCAATGCGTGTTGGCGATCTTCATGTGTCTTGGAAATATAGTTTTTTCTTATTTCATAGACATGCAGGTTTCATTACGATGTTTTCCTCACATAATTTCTTTGGTGCCAGCGATCAAACCCGAGCGCTTAGCTCGGGTTTGACCCTGAGCTACTACGGCTCAATGGTACAATGTGTGTCTGTTAGGTATTTAACTAAGGTACTATTAATTAATAATCTTATGGTATTTAAATTTAGTGTGTTCGTCCTTGTATTGGTTTTTTTTGGGAATTTTTTTAATAATTAGTTTTTGTGTTGATGCTTTGCACGGCGTATTTGTTTCTGGTTATGTTTGTTCAAGTTTTAATTTATTCATCCGCTTTAATTATGGAGTAGTTTGATATTTGAATATAAATATATAATTTACTGGTTTCGGTTATGGCCCTCTTGTAGTACGGTGTGAAGGTGTGAAAACGATGTGTTGAACACTACCTACCCTATTAGCTCAGGTAAGAATTGTATGAGGTTTACTGACAACATCCTCTCACAACTTATAAAAAAAAATGTTACCTCCACACTAGGATTTTCTCCTGTATCGCGGGCGCAGATTACATACATAAATTTCACAAGGACAAACATCCAGACCCAGAACAATTATTTGTAGGTCATCATACAAATACTTGTTCCATGTGGGATTCGAACCCGCGGCCCTTAGCGCTGCAACTCATTGCAAAGCCACTGCGCCACGGAGCCATCTTTGACGCGCTACTCGTCGTCGGTCTTCGTATTTTACTTGTGTGAACGGTAGATAATTAGAACGCTATCTATCGGATGCTAAGATGTATCTTATAAGTCCCATAGTACCAAATCCCGTACTAGTTACGACATTAACGAGTCGAACACGGCTAAGAATTAAAAAAAAAAACAATATTTCGAGGTTTGCCTCGTTTCGCCGAACGCACATTTGTCCAACACGAAGTGAGCGTACGACATTCGTTGAACAAATTAATAATTCGATTTCGATTCCAATTCTATTAAGAATATAATTATACTGGTGTAGGACCACACTCTCACAGAATACCATGGTAAAATAGCAGCTTAATGCTGCTGTGTTCCGTATGGTGAGTGTAGAGAACTGGATACCCTAATTACTGGAAACGAGGCATTCTATCTTACTCCTCAGGGTTGACAACACATCTGCATTTTGATTCTTAATTGAAGTTAGATGTAGGTGTCTACAGGCTACTGCATCCATCTACCATAAGGTGGGCTGTGTGCTCGTTGTTGTCGTGTCACCATTACATACTTCAAAGTAAAATAATAAGTAAAAAAACACTAAGGCTCGTATTAATAAACGTTACTCAGCTCAAATACACGCACTTAAGTACGATCTTGAGGTTATGATCTTATTAATAAACATATCTCAAGATGCGGCTTAGGTTTACGATATCACCTGAATGCCGCACCGATTAATGAACTGGATGGATGGTGGATGCTGTGGCCCATAGACTACATCTATTCTCGTTTTAGAATCAAAATGCAGATGCATTGTCACCCCTAAGGACTAAGGCCCGTATTAATAAAGTTACTCAACGATGAACTCAAGTGCGTAATCGTTTGATACGCCCTCATTACGATATCAGCATCTCAAGATCGTTGCCAATTAATAAACACATAATAACAATATCTCAAAACGCTGTACTTAGGAATACTGTTCTGTGACTTGCACTCTAGTACACACACTTGAGAGTCGAGTTTCGTTTATTAATCAGTGTGGCACTCAGCTGATATCGTAAACCTAAACAGCATGTTGAGATATGTTTATTAATAAGATCATAACCTCAAGATTGTACTCAAGTGCGTGTACTTGGGCTGAGTAACGTTTATTAATACTGGCCTAAGACATCATAAATTTAAAGGTTCCCCTTTTCTGTTTAGATAGGAGTCCGTGTGGGTTGATACCACCCTCTACCTCACCCTGGTATGTGTGCACAAACTGCTGTGTTCCATTCAGTATAAAACATGTTGTGAGGCATTTCATTCTAGTTACTACGTGTCTTTATTGTGACAATTTAGCAGAAGTGGAGGGACCAAGGACGTAATAGTCCATGTGATGGTAAGTGGTTGCTGCAGTCCATGGACACCTGCAACCATCATCAAATAAAGAATGCTACAGTTGCGTTGTCACCTCTGAAGACTAAGTTTGAATGCCACAGCCTGTAATTAGACTGGATCTGCACAGGAGTGCATACACTGCTGCTTGGTGGCAGATAAAGGTGCTCAAAGGTGGCCAGATGGCCTCGCGGCTGAAAAGGAGTGTTACTGCCAAGTGGAACTGAGCCCATATCTAACAGTGTGTGAGGTTGTGTGTGGATAGAGTGAGTGTAGCGAAGATCGAATATAAAATAAAGTTCTGCACTTAACGATTTAATGTCCTACAAGCTATGCCCACGATTCACACTCGAAAGGATAATACTTTATAGATAGGTACAGAGAAAAAAAGAAAGTTTAAGATATGGATGTATAGTGTATGTGGAATGTGTGAATTGATTTTGATAGATCCACGCTGCTGGACAACTGCAACACCAGGGGAATTGCAGGTGCGTTGCCGGCCTTTTAAAAAAGGAGTAATATTATGGTTGTAGCATGAATGGGTCGGCTCTACAGGGTAAGGACCACATTCTCACAGAATATACCAGCATAAAATAGCAGCTTAATGCTGCTTTGTTTTGTATGGTGAGTGTAGAGAACCGGATACCCTCTTTACTGGCAACGAGTCATTCCATCTTAGTCCTCAGGGATAACAATGATTTAAATTTAGATTATTAATCGAGGATTAATGTAAGATGTCTACGGGCCACAGCATTCACTTACCATCAGGTGGACTGTGTGCTCGTTTGTGTTTATCACCCTTATTCTATAAAAAAAAGAGTGGACTGGTTATACCGGCTCACCGCAGAGAATCTATTAAACTGACTCTGTTCCATTCTGTCGAATTCCAGTGCCTGGTGGGTTGCCACTGAGCGTGGATTATCGTTCGCCGGTGTCCCACTTCGTGCCGCCCGCCGTAGAGTTGTACGCGGCGAGACACAAGCCGGAACTTAATAGAGGTGAGTGGTAGAGCCACTATTATCGCAATCAGTGAAATTGTGTGTAAAGTAAAAGTAAAGTTGCGGACTATTTATGTCCCACTGCTGGGCACAGGCCTTCTCTCATTTCTGAGAGGGTTTTAGGGCAAGGAAATGTCCGTCGCGCTGCCCCAATGCGTGTTGGCGAACTTCACATGTCTTCGAAATATAATTTTTTTTTCTTATTTCTCAGACATGCAGGTTTCCTCACGATGTTTTCCTTCACCGCCGAGCACGTGGTAAATCAGCACTTAAAATTGCAATTAACAATTTCATTGGTGCCGGCGGGGATCGAACCCGGGTTGCTCGAGTACTGTGGAGCTTACAGCGAGCGCTAACCATCTGAGCTACCATGGCTATAAACGAAATTGTGTGTCATATTATAGTCATATAATTATTTAAAAAATAAAAAAATAAAGTCACATAATATTTTATGACATATCTAAGCTTAATTAATAGAATCAGTCGTTACTTTACGGAAATCCATTATATTAAGATGTTCAAAAATGAAATTAAAATTAATTAATTTATTTGTGAATACAGTGAGTTCGATGTTAGTAAAATTTACAGTAGGTATCGTGTATTCTAACTACCACAGTGTGGTGTACAAATATATTTCTTTACTAGCTGTTCCTTGATGAGGCTTGATGGGTTTTAATTTTTTGCGCGGAACTCTAATTCTTTATCTAAAATAAAAGTAGCCTAAGTCACTTCTTATAACATCAGCTATCTGCCAGTGAAAGTCCGGTCAAAATCGATCCAGCCGTTTCGAAGATTAGCCAGAGCAAACAGACAGACAGACAAAAATTTTAAAAATCGTGTTTTTGTTATAAGTATTGTATATACTTTCATATGCATATATATACACTTCAATTTTATTTATTTGTGTAGATGTTATTATGTTATAGCTAAGAAAAGCAAAATTGATTACTTTTAAAATTGATTGCACATTATAAAAATACAATATTCATTAGTGTACGTGGTATTAATATTCACAAAAATGCTAAATATTATAGGTGAAAAGCTTCGTGCAATGATACCCTTGACAACTAAATAACACATTTCGTAATGGCGCCTTTACGTCTATATTGAGAAAAGAGAAGGTCAAGTAAATAAAAATGTCATCTTTAATTTTTAACTTTAATCAGCTATGATCCTCGTAATAATAAAATGATGTGCCTTACCAAGTTTAAGAGCCTCTACCTCGATTGCGTGCGTAAATATTACTTTAACCAACTTCAAGAAAAGGAGGAGGTACTCAATTCAAATGTATTTGTTTTATGTGTGGTTACCTCAGAACTTTTTTCTAGATGAACTGATTTTGATATTTTTTTTTAAAAGCTGGTGCTTCTCTTGTAGTCCAATATAACTTTGATCAAGATCTGACCAGTAGTTTTGGGAGTATATAGCTTAATAATGCGTATTTAATTGACTTCGACTGCATTTATGATGTTCTCATTTTATTTGTATTGAAGTCGGATGTATAACATTTTTAATTTTATCACCAGTTTAATATGTCTTACTGTTCCTAAAACAGTATTCCTGTATATTGCGACTGTGTGTAGTACATCAATCAAATTGATCATACCGATCGTTGGAAGGACTTGGCAGCGCCGCTAACGGACGTGCAGAGAGAACCAACATTTATTAACCAGCTTGGTCGACTGGCTTCCCTCGAGGCTGTTGACCCCAAACAAGTAACCCAAACAGTACAGTTAGTGATATTATAAAATAATAATTACGCACGCAACGTGGAGAGGGCGGGAGGTGCTCTTCAAAGTAGCTAACACAATTTTACATACATACATCTAGGCTTGTCAACCGTTCCACGAAAGCCAGACGTCCGGGAGAACCTTAGTGGGTACGTTCTGCGAAAGATGTGTGCGGGACGTTTATCCCGTTCTATTGTATGCGACTAAATCTTAACGGATTAGTAAGCTGAAGTGGCAGTGGGCCGGCCATATAGCTCGAAGAACCGACAACCGATGGGGAAGAAAGGTTCTCGAGTGGCAGCCTCGTACCGGCAGGCGAAGTGTAGGGCGTCCCCCCACTAGATGGAGTGACGACCTGGTAAGACATGCAGGAAGTCGATGGATGCAGGTGGCTCAGGACCGTGCTTTGTGGCATTCTTTGGGGGAGGCCTATGTTCAGCAGTGGACTTGTGAAGGGCTGTAATGATGATGATGATGATGACTAAATCTTAGGCGGAACACGTACCAGTTGCAATGAATATCGATACAGAACGAAACATTGTGTTTTACTGACCGATCTCCTTTTCGAAATCAACTTAGCAGACGACTGTACCACATTAGAGCTCGGTATCGCACTATGGTATTTTATTTCTCGCTGACGTACGTGACCGAGCGTACGCAATCGTCGTCAGCGTAGGAGGAATTTAGGCCTACCCTATCCAAGGGACACTGACTTATGGTATACAAAGGCATACCAGCCTTCTACAATTGAAATATTTTTATTAATAAACTTTTCTTATAATTAATAATCTTTGGAAAGTAACGAAACTCAAAAACATTTATTAGAAACAAACATTAAACATAAATAGAGACTGGAATATCATTACTTTTTATGCACGACAAAGGTAACGGTATTTCAGCTTAGTTAATAAATTAAAAAAAAAAGATAATTAGAAACCAAAATTAAATTAAATTTGTGTAATTTAAATAACTTTTTATTTAAATAAAGCAAAAATATTTAAAAAAAAAACGACACGTTAACAACGGAAAGGCACAGGCCTCCTCTAATTTCTGAAAGAGTTTATAAAAAGTTTATATAACGTGGGGTCTATCGTTTGAATTCGATCTCAACTGGCAACACTTGCGCTGGAAAATTTATTGTTTTCAATAATAGGACGCAGATAACTTTCCGTTCCGTCCGTGAGCAATTTTATTATGTAACTTTATCTACGTATTTTCAAAATTCGAATGCGTATTATTTCAATGTGCTGAAATGTTGCTAAAAGTGAAAAAATCTACCAAGAAACAGGAAAGTCGTGTGCAGTTTTCGATCTGTAAAGGCTGATGACTTAAACGCACGGAGAAACTAAAGAGCTTACTTGAAAAAAAAAAAAGGCCGGCCAAGTGCGAGTCGGACTCGCGCAAGAAGGGTTCCGTACCATTGTAAAACAAGTTTCTAGCAGGGGCCTTTAATTTTTTAAATAGCAACAGAAATACACGTGAAAATTTCTACCTAAAACCTAAAAACAGTCTACCTATTACGGATTATGAGATAAAAGCCTGCTGACAGACTGATGGACAGCGAAAGTTTTATAGGTTCCCTTTGGGTACGGGACTCTAAAAACGTGTAAACGAGTAGAGAACTTGAGCCTTCCACACGACAAGGGCACTACGTCATGCCGATGCACCACCGCTCCGCGCACTAATTAGTTCAACAATTTTGACGTACCCTGAGGCTCAATTTTAAGTACATACTACTTGAATTCTGAGTAGGAGTGGGCGATACAAATCGTATATAGATACAATATCTATATATCAGCACAATATCCAATATCTATATATCGGACGACAAACTAACTATGTATTAGATATTACGATTTTACGATACCGTGTTGATATGAGTCATCGCAGAATATCTAATATCTACTCAAAAACGAAACGTAAAATATCTAAATATATACATTGATTCGGATACCGAAAAAACCTCGTTAGAATATATAGCTAAAACAGATATTACGACTACTTTACAACGAAAAGGTGATACGCTTATGCTTAATATTATTAATATTAATCCTTATTATTAGTGTTATACGATTTATTACAGAACACATCATTTCTAATATCCAGTCTAAGTAGTATTGCACTGATTTCAAAATAAACGATTATAGATCTTATTATGTATATAATAGGATGTTATTTTTAAACCAATTAATTTTAAATATTTGTAACACGACCTTTGGGTCTTCAAAAATTGAAGTACCTATTTGTTCAAATTTGATTTTTGTGTTCTATTTTTAAATTTTATTTTTTGTGTCGTTCACGTGCATTGCGTCGCGTAATTTGAATGCGGATGACATATTTTATGTAATTTCTCTGCTCACTTTCGTTTGTAATTCGGTTTCGAAATTTAAATTTTATTTTGATAATTTTTTCGTATTGTGTATAGGTACCTATATGGTTTCTTAAGTTTGAACTGTTTTTGTGTATTAAAAGTTTAAAAGTAGTGTAACATAAATATTATATAGATGCATAGATATTAGGTAGATAGTGTACATTTCTTTTAACAAATTAATTCTAGTTTAGTGGTTGACATTGTGTAGAACTAATTAAACATATTATAACAATATGTCTCGTAGCATAATATGGAACTATTTTGAGAAATATGACAAAGTCGATAAAAAGGCCAAATGTCGCATTTGTTGCGATATTTATAGTTACAAAGGCTCAGCAGGCAACCTTAAGGCGCATTTAAAAAAAAAACACTTAGATGCTTTTACGAAAGTAAGTACAGCCCAACGAGAAGCGAAAACATGTCAGCAACAAAGACATAATATAACATGATAATTTTCAACTACAAGTGTGGCATAAAATATAAAAGTTTAATTTTATAGTAAATAAATGTTACAATCCTTATTTTTAGATAAATAGAGCCTAAATTTAAGTGTAATAAATTAAAACATTATATTTGGAGTAAGTAAAAAAATACTTTGCAAACGCGCCATCTACTCCATTAAGTGATTTTATCGAACAAAAATGGATTAACTCCATAGACTAATATAATGATTAACTCTCACGGTGGTACGCATTATAGACGTTAGATGGCATAAACACGACACGATTTAATTTAATATTCTATTTCATCTATCTCGCAAACTAAATCTTATTGATATATATTATATGTCACATTTTATATTATGACATACTTTAAGAATACTTAGATTACATAAATAATACCATTTATTTATAAATCTATATAAGGAAATTCGTTCATAAATCGCGTATCACCATGTG